TCCTGGACCAACATCGGGTTTTCAATCATACCATATACAGATCATAATATTAGTTTACAGTATACCTTGCGTGCAACCTATAACACATTATTAAACATTACCCCGCAATAAGTTGATATATAGCCGACAAAGGCCATTTCAAGCATATTATATCAGGAGGATTCGCTATCTGACACACGCGAAGAATATTAATTAAGTAACATTTACAAATTTCAATGCATAAAATATATTTTATGACAGTGTGACGTCGTTTTCAGCCCATTCTATGCAGCTGCCGCAAACAAGCCAGAATCGGAATTAACAAAATTCTGAAACGAATAAAAATATTTATAACCAATAGTGAATTTGTACAATAATTCAGTCAATCATTTTCGAGGACCGCTCATCTATTTGCACTGTAGAGGCAATGTTCTTTATCCTACATCAGCGTTTGAGCCTTGATATTCTTCGTTTTTTATTTTTATATAAATATCGGTAAACGTGCTTGTCCATAGCATTTTCTCATTATGCCTGGCCATAAAGACCTTGATAACGTTTCGCGTCCGTTTACTAATCGCTTCTTGAGGTTTGCCTAGTCATAGATGATGCTCAGGCTAATGTTTCCTTCATCCAACCCAACGGATTCAGAGAAGTGCATCGTTATGAATCACCATCGGTGAAGAAGCCCCCATGCACCGTACTGTAAACGTGAACGACGGCACTCTGCTAGTGTATTAGAAAGGACTATAGTCATGACCCTTCGCAATCAAGGCGGTCATCAGCACCACTCTTCAAAATTTCGTGCCATCGCCATAAAGTAGAACAAGATTAATTTTGAATGAGAAACAGATAGTCGGGAAAAAGCTTTTCGCATTTCGCTCATATATCATAATAGAGAAATGACACAATTTCAAGCCATGCTCTGTCTGTGCCTTCGTTGCAAGCGTCGTAGCATAAGATGAGAGATGGGTTGTCATGTGAAGAAGAGCTCGCGTGACCAGGTATAAAATTATTGAAAATATTAGATATGACTCAATTAAGGACAACAACTAAGGATAGAGTTGACGACCGTGTAACAGATCCGTGCACCATCAGAGCTACTTATGGCATTCCGTGGTTTTGACAGCTGTCTTTCCTCGTACTGCCTGATCGTCAATGCTGACACCTGTGTGATATTGAGGTAAATTCTCGGCACAAAAATGAGAAAGCAACTTTATAAGCTTACTTGTAATAACCCTTTCAAGGGGGTTGAGTGCAACTGCGAGAAAATTAAGTAATCTACTTTGCGCATTAGGAGGTTCGGGTTTGAATCCAAGCGTGGCGTAAATTTTCTCTTATTGAACTTCCGGTTTGGTTGAACAGTGAATCAGCCCAACCATGGCTGCTTGCAACCAGCCTAGAAACGAGTAGAAAGTCGATAAACCGTTCAGTAATGGAAGCAGCATGGATTTCTTGAGTGATCACGCCAGAGTTTGTGTGTCATGCGGCCATGCTTTCTAATGTACCAGCCATACGGCTGCAATTCAAAGTTCCCCAGCACAAGAGGTCAAATACACGTTATTTTAAAAATATTAGGGCAATTTCCTCAACCCTCTGACGAGGGCGGTCAGCAGAGAATCGTACGAGTCTAGGTCATGAATATTCGGTTCATAAAAGGCCAAAACGTCATGGATATTATCGCGCGATTCACAAAGAATCTTTCATTACTGAAGTTATCAACTAATATAATCAACTGATAAAAAATACATGATACCTGATGCCCTTTGACCAGTGGGTGATCGATGACGCAAAACTACGTAAATGCCAATAAATTCGTTTCCTGTCTAACGTGATCTACGAATTATGTTTATCATTATTTTGTTATCCTTAATAAATCATATTTATCATTAATATTTCGATCAATTTACACCTGTTTAATCAGTTTTCAGTTTTTATCCACATGGCGTTGTCTTGTGTCCCAATTTGATTTCGCTCAGAAGTCATCATTCTCAGAGGAGATGAAAGAGATCAGTAACGAAGTGACTTCACCAGTTTAGTACCGATTACTACCTCAAATCCATTCATTGACACTTTCAGACAGAGTGTCACTTTCTGTAAGAATCATTTTTTAAACGCATAATGAGACTTGTCTGTCATTCGTTATCAAAGCATCGATGTAATATTTTGCATTTTGGTATTCCTTTAAAATTTATTCAATCCATGAATCAGCTACTGTTCTGAACCGAGTTATAGTCAACACCATGTCATAACATTGGATCGCAGATATTCGAATATCGAAGATTGAGCAAGACATCAAACGAACATACTGTCTCCATGGGATTCAAATTTTTCATCTCGCGAAATATCACCTTAAGCGGAATTTCTACCAGTATGAAAACTTCGATGAGGAATCTGATCAAGAAAAGCACTGTACATGTTATGACCTCATGTTTCGAGGCTTGGGGTTAAGGATTCGTAAAATTCGGTTCGCAAAGGATTTCACAGAATCCGTAAAAATCCCTTCCAAATGTCCCATTCCAAATCTGTATCCCTCAGTACTTTGTCATATGATTCGGTTTAATGGCTGCTAAAATTATAATTCAAATAATGAATACCCATGGTACTTTCTTCTTACTTCCTTCATCCCTTGCTTTTTTTCTCTTTTCTTCCTTTCCCTCCTGTTCTTGCTCATAATTTCCTTAACCTTACGCCGCTTTTCTTCACAATCAACCCAATGGATTTTTATTGTCTCATGCGAATTCTAATTTCTCTCCTCTTCCGCTGATTCTCACGCCGTCGTCAGCAAATAACAGCCACCAAAGGCTTATTGCTTTAATGATATTTTGCTTTGTCTCTGGAAGAACCTCCACGTTTGGTGTAAAATCGAGCATGTAGATCGTAAATTCAACGCCGCACCCGATGTACTCTAAACTTAAGCGCAAAATGTCACGTGTTTTGGAATCAATCCCCTTTTGATACTCGGCCTACCTCATCAACTCATTTAATATAATTGCAAAAGCCTTTTATTTTCATTAAGGCAGCTCATTTTATTGCTGAGAACTGGCAATCCGAGCTGTGACCACATTCGGATATATCTGAATTTCAAACTTGTGAACAGAAAATAATAGAGAAGTTTTGTTTGCTTCTTTTTGAAGTACAATCGTAGTAATGTTAGTTTTGGAGTATATCGCCATAATCACCATCATCTGTCGTCATCTAGTGCTAAACAAATTCCACTCCCCCAACAACAAATCTTCTCCATTGAAAAATATCTCTTGCGTACTGTATTCAGTTTTGCTTTTTTCTATTGGAATAGTCTTCTGTCGTATCCTTCCTTCAGACGTGATGTTTCCAAACCTTGCCGTTTGGTTTATTGCCTTGTATATTCTGGATATCAGTGAGTATATGTTACTCTAATTGGCATTATCCAAAAACCTATTTTGAATAAGAAATACTATATGACCTAAAGATACTGTCATTCAACTACTAATACCGGATGTGCATCTCACAAACGAACCGTTCCCTTGTTCTTAGTAGCTTAGAAGGACCACCTGGGCAAATCACCTATCCATTGTGCACATAGCTCTTTGAGGAACTACAAACAAAGGTATGTTCCAACTCTAACGAAATTTGCTTGGTGATATAATGATTAAACACGTGGGCAAAAAAATAAAATCCCGATGTTCTGAGGTAGCTACGACGAATGGCAATTGTCAAATTAAATTGGTCCTGCTTCATGCTTAATTACTTCACTTCCTGCATGAATAGTCCCCTTAAGCACTAAAAGCTATAGGACGGTGTGTTTTCACCGTGTAAATCTGGTAGCAACAATTGAAATGTAACATTTACTGGCATATTTCGAAAGCTGCTGTTTCTGGTTACCTATCAAGCATATATTTTGTCATATTTTGAAAAGTACTGCTTTTACTTGTGCCCACCGTCAGCCTCTACGATGGCACTTGTGCCGTTACTTGAAAGCATAGTTTGTATCGCAGTTTTGCTGACGTCGACTGGAAAACGTTTCATGACAGATAAAATCTAGATCCTTGCCCTATGCTTCTAGAGTCTATAATTTGCGACGAGCAACTCTGAGTATTTAGAATTAGGATATCGCCACTATTTGACTATGTTTCATATTCATACAAATGAGTGACCCCGAAGTAGCTAAGCTTTCAGTATTCTTTGCCTCCGTCGAAGAATATCCTGTCAGAAATTTTGCACATAACTCCATACCTTCAGAATTGCTGAACTGGCATCCATTAACGTAATTTGTAAGTAAAATTCAATATACGAATTCTGAGATGGCTGCCTCCCCCTCAGAACTGCCAGCAGTCGAGGCGTAGCCAAAGACGAGCGAATTGCAAAGGTTATTCTGTCGTGTCTCTACGGCCCTCGCATAACTCATTGTCGCGATAGTTGGCTTGAATTATCATATTTTGATAATGAAAATTGTGAAACAGCACGAAGGGCTGACGTTAATGCCTTTCCGTGATACACGGCACAATCGCACGGCCTTCAGCCTTCACCTCTACGCTTTAAAAGTCAGCAGTTATTATATATCGGCAAGGGCACATATTTCAGTTGAAAGTTTTACTCTACACTATGCCGTTCATGACAACGTTACAGACGTAATCTGTGGTAGTGCTAAATTTTAAAATTTTTGAGGACACGAATCACCTCAGACGAAAGACGAATGGCAATGCACGTAAACCTGCCAACTTTTTCCAAAATCAATCGCGTTCGCTTGTATCTTGGTGTATTATTTTTCTGGCGCCTCACTGAGCAATTTCTACCGTATTCGTCAAAGGGAGTTCAGGAATCAGAGGTGAGTTAGGTTGGTCCGAGTGTTCGCCAACCGCCGGCAAACAGACATACGGCCAGACGTCTCTCGCGATTGATTATTAGGCATATAGCATAGCGATGACGCGTGCACCGACATTGTTTCTTCGTGTTTCAGCATTGGCGCTGCTCGCTCGCCCGCTTGAGACGAACTACCGGCACCCGTGCTGCACAGCAACCGACGACCACCTCTCCTGCACATCATGCAGCTCCCTGCCTTTCTTCTGTGTCTGCTGTTGATCGCCGCACTGACCAGCGCCGGTCCCGTTTATAAGGACTTCTACGAGATTCCAGAAGAGGCATCGTCGTTCGCTGTACACATGAAGCGACACGGTACGTACATCATATGTTGTCTAGAGATATATGATGAGGGCAGATTTTATGGAGGTAGGAATCGACGATTCACTTATGCTGAGTTACATAAGTAGCCTCAAAC